AGCCAGACTCCAAGTAGCTGCGTCTCTCTCCTGTTGCTTTTTGGAAAGCCGGGAGTGCTGGGCTTTGGGTTCCAGCTAGAGGGAAGGGATCGGGACCGAAGAAGACAGGACCGAGGCTGCGGCCGGTTGCCAGCTCCCTGGTCCGGGCCAGAGCTGGGGGGCGGGCTTTTTGAGGCTCCCCACCTCCATGGCCTCCTTTTCTGTTCTCACTCCCCAGGTAACACCAAGGGCAGCGGAGGCGCAGGGCCGGCGAGCTCGCAACACACGCCTTTCCTTTCTCCTTCGCACCCGGACTTTAAGGAAGAGAAAGAGAGGCTCTCCGCGGGCTCGCCGTCGCCAGGGTCCGAGCGGCCGCGGGACCACGCAGCCGAGCGGCAGGCCGGCGCGGCCAAGAAGAAGACGCGCACGGTCTTCTCGCGCAGCCAGGTGTACCAGCTCGAGTCCACCTTCGACATGAAGCGCTACCTGAGTAGCTCGGAGCGGGCCTGCCTGGCCTCCAGCCTGCAGCTCACCGAGACGCAGGTCAAGACTTGGTTCCAGAACCGCCGCAACAAGTGGAAGCGGCAGCTCTCGGCCGAGCTGGAGGCGGCCAACATGGCGCACGCCTCGGCGCAGACTCTGGTGGGAATGCCGCTGGTGTTCCGGGACAGCTCGCTGCTGCGCGTGCCCGTGCCGCGCTCCCTCGCGTTCCCTGCGCCACTCTACTACCCGGGCGGCAACCTCTCGGCCTTACCTCTCTACAACCTCTACAACAAACTCGACTACTGACCGAGGCGCGCCGGCTCGGCGCCTCCCCGCGCGCCTCTGGCTGCCCGCGCGCCTGGCGCGCGCTGCCCGCTCCCAGGGCTCCGGAGCACGGCAGCGTAGTGCCAGAAATATTAAGAAATACACCATGTGTATTCATTATCTTTTATTTATGGCCTCGGCCCTACTTTTTGTTTTGATTGTTTCGGGTACTTGTCAGCATTCCTCAAAGCCAGATCTCCTGCTTTCTATACCCCCAAACAAACCAGGATGCTTTGAAAACCATTTTGGAAGGGATATTCTCGGGTGGTGGGAAAGGGAGTTTCGGCTAGATCGACGTTGATTGGTAGGAAAAAAAAATCTGAAAAACACCAACAAAGCCAGGTACACTACTCTCCCCTTCTATACATCTGTATATACGTACATGCACACACGGCCAGCCACGCCAGCCCGTGGGGGCTTTGGACAATTATCTCAACGCCTCCTCCCGTTTCCCTCCTCCCGAGGATGGGTAGGGGCAAAAGGGGGGGATTTCAGATCTGTAAATATTTTTAAAGAAAATAATAAAACATTTTAAGCATCGTTGCTAACTTTGGCGGCATTGATTGTCTGGCGTGCTAACACGTGGGACGTTTCCTCGCGTTTGGGTGGAGGGGTTTGGGGGTGTGTGTTAGCTGGCTTGCCCCACGGGAAGGGTGGGGCCGGGGTCAGGGGTTAAAGTTTGGGACTCTGACTCTGGCAGCCTGTGGGCTGGAGCGCACCACCTTCCACTCCCTGACGCTCCATCCTGGAGCTGGCTGAGGCGCACCCGGACCGAATCCAGTTCCGGAACCTGCGCCTAGAGGGACAAAGGCAGGGAGGCAGAGATCACTGCGCAAGCGGATGCCTCCCCGGAGCCAGCGTCTTCCCAGCCCCCGTAACGCCTGGGGCTTGGCCGCAGCAGCGTGTGTTGTGACATGGCTCAACCAGCGACGCCAGCCTCCTCTCCAGGGGTGCAGGGCAGGTGGGACAGCGCTTCCTGGACCGGGTAAAGAGTCTGCTTTGGTAGTCCCCCAGCCTGGCGCGATAGGCTTGCGACTGCGCACGTTTCCCGGGCTCGTGGCACAGTTGTGCATCCTCCGCGGCTCGGGAACAGGGCGCGGAGTGGTGGCACTTCGGCCCAGGAGGGTTCTGAGGCTAGAGACCAGGCAAAAGAAAGTGCGGGACAGAGAGGCGCCTCTCCCACACACTTTTGGTTTTGGGTGGTGTTTATAGTTTGCATTGTACGTGACTGAGTGGCCGGATCACGCGCAAGCACGTGGCCACTCTCACTGAATGAAAGCTTGCTGCGCGGCCTGGGCGCCCACGGACTTCTGCGCCCCAGCACCGCGGTTCACAGGCCCGCTGCGAGGGCGCGGCACCGACAGAATCGCTGCGCGAGTGTTACGCAAATCCCGGAGTCTCGCAATGTTAAATCGCGTCCACCTGTTCCTTGTAAAACGTCGGAAAAGGAAGCCTTGAGTTTAGAAGGGGCTGGTGTTTGGTGTCACTGGGAAGAGCACCAGGGGCCTCCTGCCTCCCATCCCCTGAGTTGGTGCAAAGGCGCCAGGAGCGCCGAGGCCCGATCTGACCTCTAGAAAGGGAGTGTTACTGTGATTGACTTGTTTCTCTGAGGCTCGGGAGCGGTCTGCATTTTGTGAGAGCATGTAGGATACCCGTAAACCATCTGTGACCCGCAGTATTCTGTCTCAAATGTCTGATCTCGTGTCCGTTTTGAGGTCGTATTTTTCTTCTCACGTTAGATTTCGTAGGTCACCATTCATGTGGACTTGACATGCGAAGGATGTTACCCACGAACGCGTCTGCCAATGCTAAGTTAGCTCAGTTGCCTTTATTTCATTTCAATAGAGTTCAATTCGACAAATACTTACTGGGCCCTACTACTTGCTTAGAACTAAATATTGGCTATTCAGAGGGAGAGAAAAGTTGGCACTGGACCCATTTTTCTTCTGATTTATTTGGTACACATATTTTATTTCAAGTACTTCCTCTTTTTCCAGGTGACCCACTTTAAATTCTTCTTTTCTTCTAAAGTTGCTATTTGAATATTCCATGCAGAAACAACAACATGGTTCTCAAGGAACTACTTGTATAGGAGTATTTCATCCATAGGATTTTTGTCTGCATTTCAACATGCGTGTTCTTTTTTTTTCCCCCCCAGAGAATGATGGTTTTGAAGGTATTGGGTCGCTACATCCTCCTTAGACTTCTTGTACAGAAGATGGTTTTCCGTAGCCATTGTAGTCACTTAGTGGCAAAGTCTTGCCCTTTACGATTTTAGGGATGACCGTTTTTCAGTTTGTCCTAGAGTGGGTGTTTCTCTCTTTTTACTAGTTCAGAAGTTAGCAAATTGATCTAACAGTGTAATTAGTTCTAGAAATTCCTCTCTCTTCCAGGTTACTAAGCACTGAACACACACACACATACATACACACGACTTTGCATTTGGATTTAAAATGTTGCTAGAGACTCCATTGTGGCCAGGTTTCCTATCTCTGAGACTATCAATTCATTTGAATAATCAGCAAAATCATCAGCCTCCTTTCAGGTTCTAAACTGGATTTAAAAGATTGACGTTTCTTAAAACTCAAATCGAGTCTGGTTGCAACTGCATGCCCAGAGGGACCTGAATCATACACACACTGGATAATGAAATACACTTAGATTTTATTAGTGGATAATTCATGCTCAGAATCTCGAAACACTAATAGAATTAAATAAGCAACGGAGAGAGGGAACCAAATAAAATTATTTGGAGTTAAAATTATTTAGCCAAAGTTAGAATGGCATAAGGCACTGCATTTTAAATTCTTAACCTAGACATTAGCTTGTTGAAAGAGAAGAGACAGAGAATCCAGCATGAGAACTGGTGAGGAGAAAGGTCAAGAATCTGACCTTTTAGCAGTGACATCATCGATACAGTTCGGAGAAGGGTGGTTGCATGTGTGTTTATTGTGCCAAGAATCAGGAAAAAATGTGCACCTGAGTCAATGTATGTGAATGCATGAAGACCAAACTTTTTTTCCATTAATGTACCTTAAAGCACTTTAACGTCAACAATTTCCTCCCACTTCATACAAAGTTACATAATAAAGTAAATTTTTTTCCACAAAGGACAGTGAAAAAGAGGTTATTGCATGGATTACTTTGACAATTTTCAGTGAGTTTTTCATATTTAAGAGTAACTGAGTCACAGCATTCCAGTTACAAATTAAGTATTGATTTTCTTTCATGGAGATCAAATCGTTTTCTTATTACAGAAGCAACCTTCTTGACTCTCCTATTTGTGGAGGGTTCTAGAAACAGCAAATGGAGCAAACAGCTCAAAACTCTAGGGAGTTGTTTAGATGGGGTGGAGTGGACAGGGAGAAGCTCGTAGCTGTAATTTTAAGACCCTATTTAAAAATAAGTCTAAAAGAAGCATTTAAGCTTTAACACATTGCAAATTGTTTCCCAGTCTGTTCACCCATCCGGATAGGGAGTTTCTGCAGAGCAAGGACTGGTCTGATTAATGCATCATCATCCCAGCCTCTCACCAGGCCCGGCGCACAGTAGGCACTCAAATGTTTGTGAAAAGATGCAATGGAGTCATAAAGCATAGTATAAATAAAAATGAGTTTCTATTCGATCAATAGGTCTTAAGACAATAGGAGATGTGAAACCTGGTTCATAGGTGGAAACCCAGGAAAATGAGAAAACATCAGGGGGAAACAATGTAATTCATAAGAGTAAACGTTTTCTTCTCCATTTCAGTTTTTGCTTAACTTCACCGGCGCCCAGTAAAAGGGAGAATAATTTACGCCTGTAGAAGTATTGATCAGAATGAGGTTCTTGTGTCTGCGAGATTTACTCAGATGGGGTGAGCACCAAACAGAATCATTTTTCTTGGCCTCTCAGTAGTCAAAGAGGACGGGCAGGGCGCCGGTTTCAGGGAGACTACATCTCCCAGCGTGCCGCACACGTGTCCGGGAAGGGCGTGAACGCAGCCTTGGAGCGATGCCTCTTGGGAGTTGTAGTTTTAGTTCCTTTAGCACAAACACGGAGGGTGCCTCAGCCTTGTGGCGAAGCAAGACCACGTGATCGGAAAAGCGGAGGTTTGCCTTTGAGCCGGAAGAGGATACCAGGGTTGACCGACACCAGACCTTAGAATGGACCAATCAGCTGCCTAAAATGAGACGTTGGCATTTGAATTTAGCCAATGGGAGGCATGCGCTGGAGCTTCCTCCCCCGCCTACTTTGCATAGCCCGCGAGTGCTCCGAGCGAAGCGAGGCGGCGGCCAGCGACGACCAAATCGATTCCGAAGGGAAAGCGAGGTAGCGGGGAGAGACGACGGGGCGCGAAAGCAGACTCTCTGGGGACTCCCCGGGCCCGGGGCTGGCGGAGCCGTCCGCTGGGAACACGTTTCGCTCCCCCCGCTTTTATTTTAGGAGCATCTGGGGCTGCAGGCCCCAGAGGGGAGGGGCCGAGGTGCGGGAGCCCGCGGCGGGGGAAGGCTGCGGCGGGCCCGGCGGGGGGCTGGCGTTAGGGGTGTGTAGGCGCGGGCTGGGCGGTTTGGGGCGCTTCTGGGGCGGTGGGGGGGATGGAGGGGAGAGTTCCGACCGTGGTGGGCGCGCGGGCTTCGCGCAGGCGCACAAGCCCCGTCAGTGTCGCCTTCCAGGTCCGTGGGGAGGCCCGCGACAGCCCGAGCCCCAGACCTGGTACCCTCGCGGGCGGCGGGCGCGGGGTGTGGGGCGCCTCTGACTGGTCGCTTTGTCCCATAGATGACCGGTTCGAACGAGTTCAAGCTGAACCAGCCCCCCGAGGACGGCATCTCCTCGGTGAAGTTCAGCCCCAACACCTCCCAGTTCCTGCTGGTCTCCTCCTGGGACACGTCGGTGCGCCTCTACGATGTGCCGGCCAACTCCATGCGGCTCAAGTACCAGCACACCGGCGCCGTCCTGGACTGCGCCTTCTACGTAGGTGCCCGCTGCTGCGGTCTTGGGGCCCCGGGTCCCGCGGTAGGGGGAGCGACCCCCTCTCTTCCCGTGCAGGGCGGGGGCTGCTGTCTGGGAGTTGTCTGGACAGGTGCTTACGTACCCCCGACGCGCCAGGTACTGGTGTGTGGCCCTGGGGGCATGCAGAGGTCGGACACTCCGTCTCCCCTTAAAAGGGGAGTTGGACAGCCCCGCCAGCAGTCTTGGCATAGGACAGATGTGTTTGAAATTTGCAGCCCGACGATCAAACGTGGCCGCCTTATTTCACGGTGGGCCTGGTTGCCCGTAAAGAGGAATGTCCGTCTGCTTGGCTGTTCTTCCTGAACTTCCTGACAGTAGTTTAGGTTTGCTTTATTTTGGTGCTGCTTTTTGTTGAGGGTGAGTCGTTACAGCAGCGTGAGCACAGCCCGATCACTTGGCTGGAATTTGGAAACACTCTGAAGCTCTGTAACTTTTAAACGACTTGGCACTTTATGTTGCAGGATCCAACACATGCCTGGAGTGGGGGATTAGATCATCAGTTGAAAATGCATGATCTGAACACGGATCAAGGTAATCCGGCTTTTCACCTGTTTGCTGTTTTCTCAGCTAGTGCACGAGAGTGTATTTATTTAGGAAGAGTCATTCTTGAATTGCTTGGTTCCTGGGTTGGTTAAGATACAAGCAAAAATGGCCTATATCTAGGACTTTTTGTTTTGATGAGTAAACCGTTTTAAGTTACTGATCACTAAATGGTGTGCGTGTATTTTTTCAGTGAAGCCCGTTCTGATCTCCCATGGCCACTGTGTCCGGGCAGGGCCCTGAGGTCCGACCTTTACCTCAGCCTCCCGAGTGGGTGGGACCTCTGGGCTGAGGTTTCAGTTCTCTCTCCAGAAGTCAGTGTAGTGTAGACAAGGGGAGGTAGGCCTGGAAAAACTGTGATAAATAGCCATCCTGTCCTGGTACTATATTAATTTCATATCGTTACTTAGCCTAGAATGTGCTTTAATTATTACATTTATTGGATGAATAAGAAGATGGCACATTTTCTCTTAGATAATCATGTCTTAGAGGCCAGATGGGAAATGACTTACCCTGATTTTTACGGTGACTTTGGTGCAGAGCGGAGGTTGTGATGGAGCCCAGCTGCACAGGGCTCTGTAGCAGAGCTTTTTAAAAATTCCCATTTGGGGGGGTAATGTGCACGTGGTAGACACTGATGCCCTCGGAGAAGCTGGCACGTCACAGAGACACGACCAGAGGAGTGTGAGTCGGCCAGTGGGAGGGTGCGCAGAGGATGGGCACAGTTTTTGTCAGGAAACCAGCCAGTCAAGGAGAGGCGTGTGCAGGAGAGTCGCTCTGCGCTCTCGCTCACGGCTGCAGGTGTTGGGCTTTGTTTGCCGGCAGCCTCTCTCCTACACGGCGCGCTGGTTTGCAGGTTTGGGTCCTGTTTGCTCGAAGACTTAGGAGTGAAAAAACTCTGAGAAGCAAACTTAAAAACATTTTTGATGCTGGAGACCATAATTAAGGGAATTAGCTGTTTATGCTCTGAAGGTCACTGCTGAACTTAAGAGATTTTTTTTTCTTGTTTAAGTGACATTTTAAACAGGTTTCCTGTTTGAGAGGATCAAGACCACATATTGTTCTGTGTTGCATCCTTAGCATTTGGCATAGATTCTGGCACATAGTAGACGTTTAGTAGGTGTTAGTTGAATGAATGAGTGAGATGGTGAAGAGTTGAATTGGGAAGGAAAAAGGTAATGTGTTGGAATAGGAGGCCCTGGCTGGTGTCGCTCAGTGGACTGAGTGCGCGCCCGCGAAGCGGGGGGTCGCCGCTTCAGCTCCCAGCCAGGGCACGTGCCTGAGTTGTGGGCCAGGTCCCCAGTGTGCAGGAGGCAACCACACATTGATGCTTCTCTCCCTTGCTTTCTCCTTCCCTTCCCCTCTCTCTAAAAATAAGTAAATAAAATCTTTAAAATAGAAGGAAACAAGGAAAAAAGAAATATTCATCATAAAACCAAGTGGATTAATCATAAGACTGCACCTCCTTCATCCCCAGATCTGGGATAATCTATTGCCACTTTAATAAGTTTCTTGTTAGCATTGGCTTGATGTGGTAAGTTTTATTCAGGTCCAGAGGACAAGTTACCTGCTCATTTGTTCATTCAGCAAGTATTTCTTGGGCACCTGCCATGTGTCAGAACCCACACTGCACACAGTCAGACCTACAGAGTTAAACAAGGCTCCTCGTCCGGGGGATCTGGGGTCAGGCGAGGAGAGCCTTCGGCGTGCGGCATGCCAGTGCGTCCAGCTGTGCCCCGGGAGGCGGACGGCGAGGGTTGGGCGACTGTTGTAGCCCTGGAGAAGTTTTTCTGGGTGCGGGTTTTGCTTCGAGTTGGTGGAAGTGGATTCATTACAGTGGAATGAATGTCACCTTCTTTTGTTCACTTGAATTTTTGTTTTGCAGGTGTAGTAAACTATTTGTTTTTTTTCTATAGAAAATCTCGTTGGAACCCACGATGCCCCTATCCGATGTGTTGAATACTGTCCAGAAGTTAATGTGATGGTTACTGGGAGCTGGGATCAGACAGTTAAGTTGTGGGACCCCAGAACTCCCTGTAATGCTGGGACCTTCTCGCAGCCCGAAAAGGTAGGCTCTTTATATTCACAATAGGAACTGTGGGCCTTGGGGTGATTGGATGCATGATTGATGACTACGGTATTGAATATTGAATTAAGACTTGATGAGTCTGTTTTACAAACCCACATACATAGAACAATTTTGACACAAAGGAAAATTTATTTTGGTCAGATTTTTTCTGTCAGTTGTCATGTTTGTTTGTACTGCAGAGCACTAGCTTAGATAATAAATTTCCGTGTATTGCTGATGCTTTATGTCCCAGGACTGAGATTTTCAGAGAAGTCATTTAGCAAAGACTGTTGGATTGCCTTAAACGGGGTTTGACGTGTGCAGCCCAGAAGCGGGTGGAGCATCCCTCACTCAGCTCGCGACCTGAGGCTTCACTGAGTTTCCCGTTAGGAGGGTGAGGCGGGTCCTCGTTTCAAGGCGGGCGAGGAAGGGGGCCCGTGCACCCGCGTGCTGGCCATCTGTTGGCGCTGGCAGGTGTTTGGAGGCTCTGGTGAGCCCAGCTCCTCCAAGCGGAGTCTCCGTACGTCACGCTGGCCGCCTGGTCCGCGCCGCGCGAGTGTCGTTGGGCGTCCTTGTTGTGTGCGCGTCAGGCGTGATCGGGGGGGGGGGGGAGTGGGTCTTAAAGGCCGATTGTCGCAGCCCTTCAAAGGCCCTTCACCTGGTCTGTTCCTCAGCGTGCGTACGCCGCTCAGCTCCGGCCGGCCGGCACCCCGGACCGCAGTGCGTCCCAGGGGCCGTTGTTTTTGTCACTTCATCGTCGAGTCCACTCCTGGCAGGACCTTTGTTCGGAGTAAAATAATGGCATTGTTTCTAGTTTTGATTTATGGTTGTGTGTAGCATGTTAAGAGCTGTGATAAATTGCTGACAGAATATCATATAATGGACAGCCACACTGAATCAAGCTGCTTATTGGTTCAGCAAGGTTCATTATGTCACTGCTTTTAATACTTCCTCTGATAGATGTGTACACCTAGTCAGTAGCGAGACAGTGGTTTCGCCTGATTTATGATCAGTGGGGGTAGAAGCTCTGTTAGAATCTTGTGTCACCTGTATAAAGAGCGAGGATAAAATTTCCAGTCTGTACTATCATAAATGGACTTCTTTCTAGATTCTGCATTTTTTAAGTTTGGTGTTTCATGTGACTTAGGTTAATTTCTATTTTTCTACAAACATTTTGTTTCCTGAATCAACTCTGGTAAATCTTATATTTAATTAAATATGCCTATTTTTTTTGAAGATTTTATTTATTTATTTTTAGAGAGGGAAGGGGGGGAGAGAGAGAGAGAGGGAGAGAGGGAGAGAGAGAGAGAGAGAGAAACATCAATGTGTGGTTGCTGGGGGTTCTGGCCTGCAACCCAGAATGTACCCTGGCTGGGAATCGAACCTGGGACACTTTGGTTCCCAGCCCGCGCTCAATCCACTGAGCTACGTCAGCCAGGGCAAATATGCCTATATTAAATCTACTCTTTTGAGTCTAATTCTTCATCTTTCCCTTGGTCAAAATAGTTGTTGAGTTTTAAGGCCAGATTGTGGAGACTGCTGGGTTGTTACATTGTTAAACCTAACTTGGTTTTTTTGACTGGTGGTATGTAGTTAACATGTTAGTGATTATTGACTATATGGTTTGATGTGTTTAAGAGATGTCTTACCATATATTATGGACCCTTTTCATGCTTTGTAATGATTTTTCAGGGTTAAATATATTAAATCAGAGTTGCTTATTTACAGAAAGTAATAATCAGCAATAATTTTGTATATGAAGTCTAGATTTAAAAAAAAGATTTAACATGATCAGGGAAATACATTTTGCCACCATTTTTATAAATTTGCTATCTCTATTTGGTCTTCAAATAACATTTTTGAAATTAACCACTTTGAACCTTGTGTATATGACATTATGATTTATTATAAAGGAATTTTCATGGAAGTTTTTTTAACATTGAAAAATGGTGTTATGAGGGGGAAAATACTGTTACGGGACAATATGCTTTTAAAATTTTTCCTAAAGATGAACTTATTTTAAGTATGTAGTATGATGTCAGGGCATGAGAATTTGCTTTGTCATATGCCAGACACTATATATTTTTTAAATTTTGAGTTCATGTGCACCAAAGCAACTAAGCAGCTAATTGGTGCGGCTCCCTCCCTCTCCTGGAAAGGCCTGTTGGGCATTCAGGGTGGCAGCTGGGAAGTCTGGGTGTTAGAGTTCCGGCATGAGATCTTGTTCCAAAGGTGGTCCGGGCAGAGTAACTTTGAAAATGATTGTTTTACGAAAAGCCAGAAGCCCCTTGGAAGCCATCTTGAATTGTTTTATGGCTTTATCATCTCCTTTTTGAGTGTTTTTATACATTTATATTGTCACTAAATGAAACAAGGTTGGGAAAGTTGTTTAAAAATTTAATTTGTTTCAATAATGAAGAGAAGCCCTCAACAGCATTTTTTGTAGTTAATTAGGATGTACATTATATGGTACCTGGTTAAGTATTAAGTGTATTTTGGGTCTATTATTTTGTGTGATTAGTTGGTTTGTGTAACTACAGTATTTAAAATTTGGTACACCTGTTTGGGAACCTGATCAGCTAACTTTTTTATGGTTTTGTGATTGGTGGACTTTATTTTAGGCCGTAATGCCATTTTCAGACAAGTGGATGATTTCCAGTTTGGTCTTTCTTGAAAGGTGTATACCCTTTCGGTGTCCGGGGACAGGCTGATTGTGGGCACCGCGGGCCGCAGAGTGCTGGTGTGGGACCTGCGGAACATGGGCTACGTGCAGCAGCGCCGCGAGTCCAGCCTCAAGTACCAGACTCGCTGCATCCGGGCGTTTCCGAACAAGCAGGTACGCGCCCGTGCCCTCTCCCCCGGTTTTTGAATTTCAAAGTAATATGATCTTATATGGTAATGACTTGGTCACCACCTTTTAAAAAATTTCACCTTTTCTTTGGAGTAGTGATTTAGAATTTGTTAGGTATGTTTTTGACATCCTCATGTTTAACGGTAGTGGGTTAAACCAATTTTGGAGGCACCCTTGATGTCCAGAGAGGCTAAGTGACTTGCCATTGGTTTGATGGAGGCCCTCTGATTCCTTACCAGACCTGGGTCAGGATGCTTGACAGGTACCTGGTAATCAAGGAGAGTTTTGCAGACTACAGACTTCAGTTTACAGACTAGTGAGTTCAAATTTGAGTCTGGAAATGAAGGATTATGGGATTTGCTCTTCTCTCTCTTTTTCTTTTGGCCTCTTGGTAACCTCAGGACAGAGTTCTGTAGCAAGTCTAGCCCAGAACTTGAAATTTTTCACAGGAATACCCCTGAGATTAGAGAGGCTGTGTCCCTCATAGGGACCAGCCCTTGATGCACAGGGTGGGGTACCCTTCCATCATCAAACCCTAAAGTTCTAAGGGGAGTTGGTGGTGTGGTCAGCTGCTGCAGGAATTTTGCATGTGGAAAAGTCACTAAAAACAGCAGATATCTTGGAAGTTTATGGGTGTCCTTTAGTGGTTGTGGAGCTTGAAGCAATTGTGCCAGTTATTTTCTGGGTCCTCTATCTTAAAAGGCCAGTACCTCAAATACTGATTACACCCCCCACCCACAGTATTGTGAATTTTCATTGAAGATAAGAAATTGCAGTTATTTGAAACTTCAGAGATTTAAATTCATGATTAAAATATGCTTGCATTTTTAAGTATTTTTATGTCTTATATCTAAAATTTTCTGTTAGAGTATATCTCTAGTTTATAATGGAAGTTTCACTAAAAGTAAGATTTTACTGTTTTTTTTTCTATAAGCAGTTTTTCAGTAAATCTTTTTCATACCTTGAAGAATTAAAGAAAAAACAAAATGTACATTTTATATTTTACCTTTTACTTTTGACATAAACAAGTGATGATAGCCTTATTTTTTTTTTTTTTTTAGCAAAACAAGTGTTAGTGTCTTTAAAATTTTGGAATAGTTATAACTAGGCTGGTACAGCTTAAGCACTTCGTTAAAACCCGGCCATACTTTGTTTTCCTTTCCGGTACAGTCTTCCTGTAGAGTGGGTTGAATTTGGGTGTTAGTCCCTTGTTTTTGGAAGCTGAATTCACCATCTTTGGCTTTCCCTGGTGCCCGCCTGGCAGGGTTACGTCCTGAGCTCCATTGAAGGCCGGGTGGCGGTCGAGTACCTGGACCCAAGCCCCGAGGTGCAGAAGAAGAAGTACGCCTTCAAGTGCCACAGGCTGAAAGAAAACAACATTGAGCAGATTTACCCGGTCAACGCCATTTCCTTTCACAACATCCACAACACATTTGCCACAGGTAAAGTATGGCATGTTAACCTATGTCTAGTCACTAAGATAGCATCATTTTGCTATTGAACATGAGAAATGGATGCTTAGGAAGAGCTTTAAAAAAATTGTGCTTGCTTTTAATGAAATTCAGGGAAATCTGGTACAGTACTTGGGAGGAAATGTAATTTCTGTGATCTTAAAAATTAACCATTTGTAAAGATAATGGTTATTTCTCTATTTGCTTTTTAAGGACCATTTCACTGTTTCAAATTCACTTGCAGGTGGTTCTGACGGATTTGTAAATATCTGGGACCCGTTTAACAAAAAGCGACTGTGCCAGTTCCACCGGTACCCCACCAGCATCGCGTCGCTTGCCTTCAGTAATGATGGGACCACACTCGCAATAGCATCATCATATATGTATGAAATGGATGACACGGAACATCCTGAAGATGGTATCTTCATTCGCCAAGTGACAGATGCAGAAACAAAACCCAAGTGAGTATGCTTCACCTGTATTTGAGCCTTTTCTTGCATTCAACCCAGGATTTATTAATTTTTCTAAACTCATGAATAGCTTTGTTGATGCCTGCTCGATATGACAGCTGACTGTAGGGTTGGAGTTGATTTTATCTTGTTCTCCCAAGCTTTCAATATCCGTAGGTTGATAGACGTCTGACGGATAAAATTGTGCCTAGTTGTTTTGTAGAGAAGAATGTCAAACTCTCATTCTTCTTGAATGGGCACTGTTATTTGAATCTCTGGAGTTATTACTAGCTCATTGCTTGAAAATTAAGTTGAGGAATTCAAGAATAATTTATTTAAGCAAATTCTATTTAAGATCTTTAAGAATTTGAAGTGCCAAAAATCTTTCCTCTCCACCGAGTTTGTTTCTTTAGTATTTACACAAAGTGAATGACCTTCAGGTCTTACTGGAAACCCAGAGTAATACGGCCTTACCTGGAATAGTAAATTTCCTGAGCTTTGAAATCTTCACAGCTGTCCATGGCTCTTGGTTGACGGCGAGGACCATTTACAGTGTTTGGTACCAACAGGGCAAAGCTCTGTACTTAATTGCCTGCCCCAGGCTTAAGGGAAAACTGATACTTAGGCACTTGTTAAACCACAAAAATAGCTACCCCAGGTGTCCTGTCCCGTTCCTTGTCTCTCTGTACCCAGGCCCTTGTAGGAAACCCTTAATATCAATATTTATGGAATAACTGAATGTTTTCAGGATTCCTTTATTTTTCTGAATTAAAATGGTACAGCACCCTGGCTGAATTGGTCGAGTCCCTGAGAGGGGGCAGAGTTTTAAAAACTCAGTCTCGTGTGTACTTTTCCCGGTTTGACTTGAGAAAAGACTTCGCACGTGAAGCCTGTTGGGTGAAGGGCTGGGTTTACATTTGCTCTCTCACTTTTGTATGTCTTGTCCTGGCCGGCCATTTTGATCTTATGCTGTTCTTTTTTCTTTTGAACTTGTAGGTCACCATGTACTTGACAAGATTTCATTTACTTAAGTGCCATGTTGATGATAATAAAACAATTCGTACTCCTTAATGGTGGATTTATTACTATTAACAAAGAAACCAGGGGAAAATGTTAATTTTAATATTATAAGAACCTGAAAATAATGGATAAGAGGTTGTTATTGATTTTTTTTAAACGAACACTTAAGTGCATGAGCTGGTTTGATGGTTTGCTGCGTTAAAGGTATTTGGGCAGACAGAACTGGAGGGCAGTGACGACGCTTTTGAGAAGCAGTTTTGACCCTGCTGATTTTGTTTCCACTGTGGAAGTAAATGTTTGTAAATAAACACAGATAATAAAAATCCCTTTGCATTTTTTCTGGACCTTTAATGGTAGAATAAAAGGCTCTTAGTGGTTTGTTTCTTTTGCTGGTTATAGTTGCTCATTCTAACGCTGCTTCAGACTGCCTCATGAGGAGGTTAATCTACAATTAAACAATATTTCCTCTTGGCCGTCCATTATTTTCTGAAGCAGATGGTTCATCATTTCCTGGGCTGTTAAACAAAGCGAGGTTAAGGTTAGACTCCTGGGAATCAGCTAGTTTTCAATCTTATTAGGGTGCAGAAGGAAAACTAATAAGAAAACCTCCTAACATCATTTTGTGACTGTAAACAATTATTTATTAGCAAACAATTGATCCCAGAAGGGCAAATTGTTTGAGTCAGTAATGAGCTGAGAAAAGACAGAGCATATCTGTGTATTTGGAAAAATAATTGTAACGTAATTGCAGTACATTTAGACAGGCATCTATTTGGACCTGTTTCTATCTCTAAATGAATTTTTGGAAACATTAATGAGGTTTACATATTTTTCTGACATTTATATAGTTCTCATGTCCATTTCAGTTGCCCAGCCGCTGGTGATTAAGGTTAAAAAGAAAAAAAATTATAGTGAGAATGAGATTCGTTTCAATGTAATGCCCTGGAGCAGAACACGAACTGAGCTTGGCTTAGCTAAGTGATTCCAAATAGTACTGCTATTTTCAAACTTTCTGTTCTACTTATGTGCAAATGTATGTTTCTGAATGGGGCTTGGACCTTTACTGAAATTCATTTTATCCGTGATGTATTTTTTAAATTCTTTTGATACAGAGAGAGGTCTTATTTTTTAAATATTTTCAGTAAAAACTGTAAATCTGAATCCATCTTTTGAAATATATTTTCTTCATTGCAGGTCCACCTAATCATCTCGTGAAAGTGGTTTCTCTATGGAAAGATTTGTTTTCCTTCCTACAAATACATTCTTATCCCCTAAGGGCTGCATTATAGTCATTGTGGATACGTTACTTAGTATGTGGATTTCTCTGTTTTCTGTCTGACAAAACTTGTCTGCGCCCTTTCATGCTGACTTTGTGTAGGATGAGGAGTCTTGGTGTCCTCGTGCAGTAGTCAAAGAACCGTTTTTCTCCCAGCAGGCCCAGTCGCTTTTTGTGAGCAGCTTGAGCTCTTTTTGTAAAATAATCTGAACCTGTTATGTCCATGCTGTTTAATAAATCAGAGATTCAGAACCCTTACATGTTGGATGTTTTCAAATGTTGGTAATTAATGCAATTTACTCTGTAAAAAGGCTTCTGTAGAGCAGAGCTGCCTTCATCAAGGGCCTGGTAGGGATGACATTTTACCTTTAGGTCCACGCCGCCTCATTTAATTATGTCTATTCTGATGTACGTTGGGATTCGGTCCTGGATAAAGTGATCTGTTGGAGTTCTGCCATTTCCCTCGTGCCCGCTCGCTGGATCAGCAGGGCTCTCGAGCCGACTTAGCAGCTTTATGGGATGGGCACAGACCGCAGGGCAGCTGATGGGCGCCCTTTGGCACGCCTCTCCCGGAAGTGCTGGTGCACTACAGCTCACGCAGCTCTCACGCCCTTGTGCTGGTGCGGCCGTCGTGTGCACACACACAGAGCCACATGACAGACCCGGCTGTACTTACCCGTCAGACGTTAAACCATAAGTGAGGCCCTTGGGATGGTAGATAATGTAGTAGCCGGAGACTAACCGATGGTGTTGGTTCTTCGGTGATGATGTGCTGCTCGAAGTCATAGCCGCTTGGCTGAGGACAGAGCATACATTTAAAATGTTTAACTGAAAGAGAATTAATACCGTATCGTAAAAGGTGACTAAATTAAGGCAATGCTTTTGACGTGTGGGAGAGCTGGGTGTCCTCGTGTCTCTTGAAACCAGAAGTGTCTCCCCCCAGATGTGTCCCCTCCCTCCCCTGGGGACCTGTCACCAGCTCTCCTCCACAGTTCGTCCCGAACGAGCAACCCAGGTGTCGTATCTTCGCGTTTTCCCTGGTTTCCGGCACCCAGTTTGTCTTCTCTCTTTTTAAGTGTCTCTTACGTTTTTCTTTTTCTTTTCCCCCTGCTACTATCCCATTGTCTCAAAGGGTCCCCTGTGCCCATCTGGAGGAGAGCTGGGGACCCTCCAGTTTCAGCCCTAAATCCTCCCTCGTCTGGAACAGTGGCTTTCAAACCTTTAAGCTGCGACCCAGGTATGAAGTGCATTTGAACTTTGGTCCAGAACCCACAGAGGTCATTACAGTGTGTATAGTAGAGAAAAGATTTACAATACAGAAGAGATCTTGGTTATGGTCTCCTGACCTGATTTTAAACAGATGCCTTGCCACCTCTAACTTGAACAGACTGCTCCGTAACACACAGGACTTCAAAAACCCTTGCTCTTTTTGTCATGCTGTGCTTGGGGTCCTCCAGTGTTTCCCAGTGCTCACAGTAGTAGCCCTTCCGTTGCCTTCTAAGAAGGGAAGCTGCTTCTGAGGCCTGCCGCTCCCCAGGAAGGGACCGCCATTCCTGCTGCTGCTCCCACCATTCCTGCTGCTGCTCCCGGGAGAGCAGGGTGGGACTGACTTTCTCTGGGAACCCTGACAAGTGGGTGCGGCTGTCCTGATGGCAGCACTGTCTGGGTCTGAGTCCCGCCATGTGGAAACTGAGGGCGTGTTAGCGGGGTTTTCTCTGTTCTGGGGGAATCCAGGCCCTGTTAGAAGGACTAAGGCCAGCCAGCTCATTTACCTTGCTCTTCAAGCCCTGCATTGTTTTGCCTTTGTCACTTGACTTCGTATTTCCTAAGTGTTTTGTTATGCACTTACAACTTTGGTGAAAAAGGATTCCTCTGGTTAGAGACCACTGGATCTCTCCCCTTGGTGGGAGGGGACTCGGTGCACTTGCGCCTACTAAGAGCTTGGAGAACTCAGAAGTAAAGAAACGCCTGTAACTGTTTAACCCGTTTTCCACAAATTTCTTTGACCCCGAGCCTCTACTCTGTCCTATTATGGCCTCTGACCTCGCTGCATTTTACTTTTTACCACTTCCCCTGAAACACCAGAACTCTTTCACTCTGAGTGCCAGGCTGCTTGCTGCGCTGTTGCTCAGACACACACGCTGACTCCCAGATTCAGTCTGCTGAGGGGGTTTCTTTTTCTGAATTGACCTTTCAGTTTCCTTTTGAGCCCTGCCAGGTGCTGGTCAAGGCCCCCTCTTCACGACTTCGCGAAGCCCGCCGTCGCGGCGGTAGTCCCCGGGGAGCCTGCTCTCCCTCCCAGCTCCCGGCTCAGGGGAAGCGTCGCCTGCTTACCCGCTTTTGGCAGTTGCGCTGCCTGGGATTCTAACATTTTATGTTTGTACGTTGTGTTCCCCTACTGCGTTCTTTCAAGAGCAGGAACCACATGTCTTTGTGTACTCCGATGCCTAATGTTGGGCCACTTTCCTGTTACTGAGTGATCGAGACAGTCCTATTTAAACATAATTTTCAAGGTAATTTTGAATGGAGTCACTCAGTGTCCAGTGCACTGGGCATAGGACCTTTGTTAATTCATTTAGCAAGCATTTAATATACATTTAGTATGTTCATTGCAGAAAAATGTAAGACAGCATGCAAAAAGTGAATTACATCATCACACAGTTCTATAGTAGAAGATAGCATTTTGGTGTGTATCCATCAGAATTTCCTGTGCGTGTCTCTCCATGAACAAGCTTGTTAGCCACATCACGTGACAAGGCCCGGGGGAAGATCTGAAGAGTTTTATTTGAGATGGTGTGATGGAGGGTACAGGTCTTGCGGCTTCCTGGCATTTATTTGGGGGGTGTCCTCGGTGTTCTTGGAAGTGATGGGTGACTGGGCACCCACTAGAGTATCTGAAGCCCGGATGCAGCAGACCCTGAGATGGTGACGAAGAAGAGTCTGGCCCTGGGGAGTTCAGCGGCGTGGACTTCACGTGCGCACCCCCAGTATCACACGGGCAGGTGTTCAGACGGCTGGTGACAGGTTGTGAGCGGCGGCTTGCCCAGGCTGGCTCTTCTGGCCGTTCAGAGAGGCCGCAGGTACCCACTTGCCTATGGTTAGTACGCTCCTGAGCAACACTGTGGGCCAGTTAGCATATATAACTTCATTAACTTACTTTTGGAAGATTGTATATTTAGAGGGGAGGGGAGGGGAAAAGGGAGAGAAACATTGATGTGAGAAACATTGGTTGCCTCTCGCACACCAACCGACCCAGGAGTGAAGCTGCGACCCAGGCATGTGCCCTGACCAGGAATCAAACCAGTGACCTCTCGTTTTGTGGGATGATGCCCAATCAGCTGAGCCGCACCGATAATTTTATAGAATTGGGGTTATATACAAGAATCCTGCTTTATACTCTTAATGTGTTAGGAAGATTCTCCGTGTTTCAGTTTTTGCCTTATTTTTAAAAACCATCTAGTCTTTGACTGTTGGAACGGTTACTTAGTACCTGCTGAATGCCAGGCGCGGTGCTGGGTGCTGGGTGCTGGGGCTCCAGGGCTGAGCAGGACAAAGCCCCTCCTCTCCCTGGGTTTCCAGTCTGGGTCAGGGAGCATGCCTGGTGGTGATGAACAAACCCACAGTCAGAAAACTGGGACATGCTATATGACACAACAGTGGGACCAGATTTCGTTTTCAAGGTCTTGGCTGACCTGTGGTCCTCAACTTCACAACCCTGTTAGTGGAGAAGGCAGTTAAGTTTGGTGATTGCTCTTAAATCTCAGCTCACGCAACTGGTTAGCGCAGGTGCCGGGAGAGCCTAGGCCCCGGGGGAGGCGATGTGCGTGGGAGGCCCCCGTTGGAGAACCTTCTGGTCGTACCTCAAAGAGGAATAGTCTAGCAAGGCCGTCAAGTGTTGCCTCACCTAGGGGCCTGTCACTGCTCTGGAACCACATGTGCTGGTCTGTCAGGCCGGGCAGTGTGGCGAGTCCAGCCTTTGGACCTGGCCATGAATCCTGACTTGGCTGCTTAATTCATTGCCTCACTGACAGGTTACTTTCTGAGCCGTT